ACTAGAAATAAAATAAATTTGAGTCAAGAAGATCTCTCTATCCTGGAAATCATCTCTTATCTCCACAAATTACCTTTACAACTCTACATTTTTTTTCCATTTCATCTACCCTCAAGGTACCAGATTTTCAATATAAATTATTCATTCCTAAAGAGGACCAGAGTATTTACTGATCCTTACTAAAACTTAAATCATTTCTGCCCATGTGGAAACAAAAAAAAATATTTTTATAATTTTCGCTGGAACAATGAACTTTTATTTCAAAAATAAAATATGTAATTTTACAAGTAAAACAAACATGTTGTTTCCCCCAATGAAGTGTTAAATGGAGAAGAAATAATTTTCTATAGAAGAGTCTAGAAAACTGATCAGTAGTTATAAGTACAATAATATTTACACAAATACTACAAAACCCAAGTGAATAAACTCTCATGTCAAAGCCTAGTGAAGAATATTTTAAATTTGTTTTTGTTTTATCAGAAAAGAATTAAATAACAAATCTTCCAGGCAGAAATAAACTGAGTTGCTGTAATCATCTAACCTCAGAAAATCATGTGGGTCACTTCAAATCTATCATTTTCTTACTACTTATTGACAAACACAGGTCATCAGGGAAACCTAAACCGAGAAAGAAAAACAATTTTTCCCTTAAAATTTTTAGAATTGGAGGTGGTGTGGAAAGTGAAATATAAATACATATATTTTTGGAAAGGTTTTACTACTATCTGGCCATAATAGTATGATACAAACCTACCCATCAGTCTTACATACAAGAGTAAAGTAACAGAGCTCATAGCATGATGCTAAAAAATACAATGAAGTAGTAAAGAGATACACAAATAAGGAAAAACTAGGGGGAAAGTAGGAAGAAATATGGGTGATGGAATCTAACAATGTAATTAACAAAACCTAATAGTTTTCTCAACAAATTTGAGACTGTTATAAATTTAAAAGTAATCTCCAGGATCCTTAAAATGTACCAACTAAACAAAATCACTGTATTCATATAATACCTAATATTAAAAATGTTTAATACATTGGCATTATAAGGAAAAATTGTTTAATAAGCTTTATGTTGCCTGATAGCCTTTGTAATACTTTATAAAGAGTTCATCAATTTTTATTCACTTTACATAGCTAGAACAAATTGTATCTAAAACTTAGAGGTAGATTCGTATCTATGTCAGCATACTGAATTAAGCCTAGGACAAAACAGAAACCTCCACAGTTGATCAATGTGGCAGACACATTCTAAGATGGGTCCCCAGAATCTTCACCTCTTCATGTCCATGCCCTTGTATAATCTCCATCCTCTAGAGTATGAACAGAACCTGTGGATAGATTCCACACAAAATAATATGGCAAAGGTGTTGGGATGCCACTTACATGATTACATTATACCATAAAGGTCTCTAGAGACTTTCCTTTTTAACGATATTGAAGTAGTCATACGATATGGGACTCCAGCCAGCTCTCTACGAGCTGAGAGCAGCCTGCAGTCAATACCCAGCAAGAACCCAGAGCCTTCAGAGTCCTACAATCACAAGGAAAGGAATTGTGCCAAGAATCTGAAGGAGTTTAGAAGTAGATCCTTCCCCACGCAAGCCTCTATATAAGAATGTAGGAAAGCCAAAACCTTAATTACATGTTTGTGTGACTAAACAGAGGCCCTGGCTGAGTCACACCCAGATTCCTGACCCACAGAAATTGTTGATAATAAATGTGTTTTGTTTTAATCTTCTAAATTTGTGGTGAACTGTAAGGTAACAACAGATAATTAATACAATCAATATTATTGGACAAAATACTGGTGATTTAAAATTATCCCCCAAAACAGAGTTTTGGAAAAAAAATTATATGTTAATACTTTTAAAAATACATATTTATTAAGTTTATGTGCTTTTTCTCATTTTGTAGATATGAAACTGTCAATTACATGGTACTAAGTAACCTAGGAAAAATAGTAGAGTTAAATTTGTGTTAAAATATTTGACCAATAGGGCTACCTAATTAATTTTTGTTTTAATTAGTGAGATTGAGAAGTCACACATTTGCCCTTTAATTTTGCTTTCTGATAAATCAATTACTAACTTAATAAGTACATTGTAAAGAACATTATTTCACACTCTTTTAATAATCAGGGATATTTCAGTATCTTATCTCTCTGAACATAAATTATCAAATGCACAGATTTGTGGTTATAAGAGGCAAAATATAGAATACAAAAAATTAACCCCACACATATCATGGAGTTTACTTTTTCAAATACATTCTAACAAAATGGAACCTCTGTATAGCATTGGTGATAATGTAAAATAGTATGGCTACCATGAGAAACAGTATAGGTATCCCTCAAAATAAGCAAATAATTAACATATTATATAGCAATTGCACTTTGGGCAAATATCCAAAAGAAATGAAAGCAGGATGTCAAAGAGGTACTTGTACAGCCATGTTCATCGCAGTATTATTTGCAATGGCCAAAAAGCTAGAATGTGCCTAAGCATTTACCGACTATCAAAAGATGAATAAACAAAATGTGGTACATTCATACAATGGAATATTATTCTGTATTTAAAAGGAAAAATCTAACATACAACAACATGGGTGAACCTTGAAGAGATTATATTAAGTGAAATAAGCTAATCACATAAATAGAAAGTTAAATCTCTAGTCATGGGTATCCAGATTTAACCTCCTTAAGGGCAAATAATGTGCTTTATTCTTGAAGCAGACATACTACAGTGGTATCATGAAAAAAAATCAGTGCTTTAGGATCCAACTGAAGTAGATTCACATTCTATAGGTCTACTTTTACTACGTTGGGAAAGTTTCTTAAACTTTCTTAGTGTCAATCTCTTCATCTTTGAAATAAGCAACATAGAGTTGTTGTTGAAATTAATATGTTTCTAAAGCAGCTGGCAGTGTTTGACACATGCTCAGTAAATGTATGATCTGTGAATGTTTTTCTACCAACAAACAGAATATAGGAAAAAAGTATTTTAGTTAATAATATCACCAAAGGAAAGTACCATTGCTATGGAAAACAATATGGAGGTTTCTCAAAAAATTAAAAAAAAAATAGAACTACCATATGATCCAGAAATCCCACTCATGGGTATATAGAGTCATGTGTTAATTAATCATTGGAACTAGTTCTGAGAAATGTACTGTTAGGTGATTTCTTCATTGTGTAAACATCATAAAGTATTCTTAAAAAAACCATGGTGGGTAAAAAATATCACCAGGAAACACAATCTTACAGGACCACTATTATATACACAGCCCTTTCACTGATCAAAACATAATTAGGTAGCGCATAACTATATATCCAAAGGAAATTAAATCAGTAGGTTGAAAAGATACCTGAATCTGTATGCTTACTGTAACAGTATTCAAAACAGTCAAGATATAAAATTAATCTAAATGTCCACCAAAAGATAAAGAAAATATGTATATTTATGCAATGAAATACCATTTGGCCATAAAAAAAGAATAAAATCCTGTTGATTGAGGCAACATGTATGAGCCTAGGAGTCATTATCTTAAATGAAATAAGCCAGGCACAAATCTAAAGACAAATGTAAGCTAAGTCCTAAAGCTTATCTGAAATGTCTGGGACCAGAAGAGTTTTGGATTTTTGATTTTTTGAGATTTTGGAATTATTTTTAATTTATTTTTCTCTTTTTAAATTTGCAAATACATTTTAGCTATCTTGGAGATGGAACCTAAACCTCAAAATTTGTTTTATGTATGTTTTATAGACATACCCATTTTTTTCATGCAGCACTAAGCACTAAACATAGAACTTTGAGTATGCTAAGCAAACACTCTACAACTGAGCTACATCCACACCTCCCTGAACATAATTTTTTTACCGAATGTTTTCTCTGATATAAGGGGGGTGACTCAAAATGGGTAGGGAGGGAAAGCATGGGAGGAAGATTATTTCTAGATAGGGAAGAGGGGTGGGAGGAAAAGGGAGGGGGAAGGGGAAAAGCAAGGATGGGGGTATGTGATGGTCATCAGTATACAAAATACATGTATGAAGATTTGAATTTGGTGTCAATATACCTTATATACAGAGATATGAAAAATTGTGGTATATATGTGTATTAAGAATTGTAATGCAAAAAAAGAGTAAATGTATAATGGCATAATTTGGCGTGAACATACTTTATATACAGAGTTATGAAAAAAAAATGTTCTGTATATGGGTAATAATGAGTATAATACATTCCACTATTGTCATGTATTTAAAAAATTTTTTAAAAGATTTTTAGTGTGTCTCATGTGAAGTCTGGTATGGAATCCTCCGTTTGTGGCATCATGTTAGCACTGGAAAAGTTTGTGATTTTGAACCATTTTGAATTTCAGATTTTCAAATGAAGGATGATCTCTCCAGTGAAATTTAAAACACTGATTTTAAAGAGGGAGAGAGTAAATAGTGTTACCAGAGGCTAGGAAGTACACAGGGGATGAAAGGGTAGGGAGACATTAGTCAATAGAACAAAGTTACAGTTAGATAGGAGCAATAAGTTCTATTGTTAGCAGACAACCAGTTAATAATATTTTGTTCAGAAATATTTGGAACATTTCTTTTACAAAGAATTGATAAATTTTTAAGGTTATGGATATATTAATTACCCTAATATGATCATCACACAAAATATATCAAAACATCATACTATACCCCTTAAGTATGTATAATCATTACGGGTCATTTAAAAATAAATTTAAAAAGGCACAAAACCAAAAAATGTTATTTGTATACAAAGTAATACACTATAAATAAAAACTTACATAATCATAAGCTTCTGACCTCACTGTTTTAGTTTTAATATGTCATACTTTTGTGAGAAGATTACTTTTAAAATAATGATAGAATTATTTTTGGTTAACTTGTAAAGAATCTGTCAAAGGAACCCAAGAAAGTACATACATAGTCTTGCATATATCCCTTGCTTTAAGAGTAACAAATTGAGGCGAGTGAGGAGAGCGCGGCGGCAGCGGCGGCGCAGCCATCGCGGGATTGCCGGGGGAGAGCGAGGCCTGAGTGTCTGCGTCTAGGGTCAAAATGGTTTCAATCCCAGAATACTATGAAGGCAAGAATGTCCTCCTCACGGGAGCTACAGGTTTCCTAGGAAAGGTGCTTCTGGAAAAGTTGCTAAGGTCTTGTCCTAAGGTCAATTCAGTATACGTTTTGGTGAGGCAGAAAGCTGGACAGACACCCCAAGAGCGAGTGGAAGAAGTCCTTAGTGGCAAGCTCTTTGACAGATTGAGAGATGAAAATCCAGATTTTAGAGAGAAAATTATAGCAATCAACAGCAAACTCACCCAACCTAAACTGGCTCTTAGTGAAGAAGATAAAGAAGTCATCATAGATTCTACCAATATTATATTCCACTGTGCAGCTACAGTAAGGTTTAATGAAAATTTAAGAGATGCTGTGCAGTTAAATGTAATTGCTACACGACAGCTTATTCTCCTTGCACAACAAATGAAGAACCTGTAAGTGTTCATGCATGTGTCAACAGCATATGCCTACTGTAATCGAAAGCATATTGATGAAGTAGTCTATCCACCTCCTATAGATCCCAAGAAGCTGATTGATTCTTTAGAGTGGATGGATGACGGACTAGTAAATGATATCACACCAAAACTGATAGGAGACAGACCTAATACTTACATATACACAAAAGCATTGGCAGAGTATGTTGTACAACAAGAAGGAGCAAAGCTAAATGTGGCGATTGTAAGGCCACCAATTGTTGGTGCCAGTTGGAAAGAACCTTTTCCAGGATGGATTGATAACTTTAATGGACCAAGTGGACTTTTTATTGCGGCAGGGAAAGGAATTCTCCGAACAATGCGTGCCTCCAACAATGCCCTTGCAGATCTTGTTCCTGTAGATGTAGTTGTCAACACAAGTCTTGCGGCAGCCTGGTATTCCGGAGTTAATAGGCCAAGAAACATCATGGTGTATAATTGCACGACAGGCAGCACTAATCCTTTCCACTGGGGTGAAGTTGAATACCATGTAATTTCCACTTTCAAGAGGAATCCTCTCGAACAGGCCTTCAGACGGCCCAATGTAAATCTAACCTCCAATCACCTTTTATATCATTACTGGATTGCTGTAAGCCATAAGGCCCCAGCATTCCTGTATGATATCTACCTCAGGATGACTGGAAGAAGCCCAAGGATGATGAAAACAATAACTCGTCTTCACAAAGCTATGGTGTTCCTCGAATATTTCACAAGTAATTCTTGGGTGTGGAATACTGACAATGTCAATATGTTAATGAATCAACTAAACCCAGAAGATAAAAAGACCTTCAATATTGATGTACGGCAATTACATTGGGCAGAATATATAGAAAACTATTGCATGGGAACTAAGAAATATGTATTGAATGAAGAAATGTCTGGCCTTCCTGCAGCTAGAAAACATTTGAACAAGTTACGGAACATACGGTATGGTTTCAATACTATCCTTGTGATCCTGATCTGGCGCATTTTTATTGCAAGATCACAAATGGCAAGAAACATCTGGTACTTTGTAGTTAGCCTGTGTTACAAGTTTCTGTCATACTTTCGAGCATCCAGCACTATGAGATACTGAAGACCAAGAATTTAGCTTTAGAACATCTATGCATATGGTGGTCTAAAAATGCACAAAATGTAAAATGTACTTAAAGTCATCTCACTTTTTGTCAAACATTAAACCATCTTAGATTGGAATGTGGAGTAAAGTATGGTACATTTTATGTAACATTTAATGTTTATGCTCATAAAACCTTGTGAACACACTGTGGTATGCCAGCTCAAATCTGTAATAGCCACCAAAACCATAACTAAACGTTTTGATCCCTGGAAAGAAAGGGATAGGGTGAGGGCAAGAGTAGGAAATAGGAACCCTGACCAGTATAACTGTGCAATTTTTGGGACATATTAATTAAAATATGCCTTAACATAATTTCTACTATTTAGTGCAATGGGTAGCATTTATTTGGATAGGAATACTAGCTAAGTTGGTAGATGTCTGATTCTTTAATGTTCAATTTTTTTTTTTCATCAATTGAAGTGGGTTTGAGTTTTGTTAAGACTATAACCAAACTATTTTCACTTCATCCTATAAGTTATTGAGTGATATCAAACATGAAAACATGTTCCAGTTTTCTTTTTCTGATTAAATGTCCAGTGCATATCATTTTTCTATAAGTAATCAGTTGCTTTATAATGAGAAGGCTATATATTATTCTAAAAACCCACTGGATCTAAATGGGTTTGAAAATCCATATCAATATATGCTGTGTGTTTTTAAAGGACAACAAAAACAAATTCATTGAAACTGTATCAAAAAGAATAGGAGTACTTTTTTCTTGTCCACATTTCAGTCAAATAAAAATCAATCCTGTGAGATTGTGTTTATATATTGAAGCAAGAGGATTTTTTAGGACTTTATTGGAGGTGGGTGTAGGGAAGGATTCACCATACTTGGGCTCTCCTTCCTTTATACATTATATCATAGGACTTTTAAAAGGCTTGTACTGCTTTTCAAATGAGATCTGAAAGTGCATTATTGTGGAAGAATGTATTTGCAGCTACTAATAACATCAAGAAAATGTCCTTGTGTGTAAGTAAACACATTAATTTTGACCTTGAAAGCTGAATTCCTTAAAGAAAATAATACAAAATGTGTATAAAATTAAATAAAGGACTTTATTTACATACCATATAAAGTAGCAAACTGTTGAATGAGTTTGAAGATATCATTTATTTTTTCTGCATGTGGATTTAGCTTTAGAAAGAAATGCATTATAGAAACAAGTAATAGCAAGAAAATTGATGTATATTTTAATGATACATTATAATTCCCTTTAAATTGCAATAGTAGTTTACTATTTTAACATATATTTGGTTTAACAGATTGTTCAGCATTACACTGTTCTAATTAAGCTGATCAAGTTGTATTATATTTAAATCATCAGCAATGTATCGTGAATATGTTTAAAGGGTTCAGTTCACAGTACAAAGTTACATGTAACTTCTCAATTTCCTTTGTCAATTTAAATGCAATGTATAAAAAGTTTATTTTGATATTGTGGAAAAACTAAATGTAAAAGAAATCACCTTCTTCCATGCAGGTGTATAATCTTGAAAAAGAAAAATGCTTCCATGTTGAAGCCAGATTTTCTGTAGTAAAACTTTTAAACATTATTTTAAAAGAAAAAAAAAAAAGAGTAACAAATTGAAGCCAGTCATGGTGTTGCATGAATGTAATCCCAGCAGATCAGGAGGCTGAGGCAGGAGGATCACAAGTTCAAAGCTAGCCTCAGCAAATTATTGAGGCTGTAAGCAACTCAGCAAAACCCTGTGTCTAAATAAAATATAAAAAAGGGCTAGGCATGTGGCTCAGTGGTTAAGTGTTCCTTGATTCAATCCCCAGTACTAAAGAAAAAAAAAGAAATAAAAAACTGGAGAGATTTAAAAATAAGCATCTCTGTGTATTTTTATGCTAACAACACTCTCAATTTCTCTTTAAGTCTTTTAGCAAGGCATTTCCAAAAATAAGGAAGGGGGTGTTTTGCATTCACATAAAGGTTTCAATTTGTGAACTAAATTTTAAACTACCAAATTTTTTCAAACTTTTATTAATAGGTATGGTCGCCAGGAGACTATTTACCTTTTCAATCTTTTAGACTGAATTCCATAGTTTATATACTGTTATGGGAAATTTGATGGCATTTATAATTTCATGCAAAATGATTCACTTTGATCCTTTCTAGTTTTCGTAATGATTTTGTTTTTAAGTTCTTAATGATTTTACCCCAATAGGTTAGTCTTTTGAAACACCCCCACCTAACTATTGTCACTGCTTCAAGGAAAAGTTTAGAAAGAGCAATTCTGGGAGCTGGGGTTGTGGCTCAGCAGTAAAGCACTCAACTAGGACGTGCAAGGTGCTGAGTTTGATCCTCAGCACCACATTAAAAATAAATAAATAAATAAAGGTATTGTGTCCAACTATAATTTTAAAAAAGAAAGAAATAGCAACTCTGTTTCAAGTCAATCTGATAGAGTTGTCTCTTAAAGAGAATCTAAGGATGGGGAAAGCATATATAGCCTCCAGGCTTATCCTTTATGTATTTAAAAGCAATTATGAGTTTTGCTACACAATGAGTTAGCTGAAAAAAAGTCAATATTCATATCCAGGCATAAAAACAGAGTCAAAGTTAAATATAAATGATCTTTGACATATTCATCATTTTGAGTCATGTATATGTTTTTGAAAATCAAGACTCAATTACAAATCTTTCCTTTTTCCTCCATCTTACCCTATACAGACATCAATGAATAAACACTGTCTTATTAAGTTTCTTATTCATCTATCAGACTATAAGCTCCCTAAAAAAAGTATCACACCTTATATACTTTGCTATCCCAAGATCTAGCATACTGTCTAGAAAATAAGACATCCTGGAAAAATATTTATGTAAAATAATAACTAAATTTGGAATCTAAATGAATTAAATTTATAAAATAACTTCAATAACTGCATACTTTTCCTTAGATTTTCTTACTTGAAATGTCTAAAAGCAACTTTGAAAGCTAATTTCATAAAGTTATTTTCAGTAAGTCATTTTGCTTATCATTTCTGACTCTTAATTTTAAATTCTAAAAGCCAACAGGAATCCAGCTCATTCAAAATTATTTTTAAAATGCAGAGCTTGGATGAGTCATAAGATTTTTTTCAAAAGAATGTATCTTAGTATTTCTTCATATTTTACAATGTGCATGAAATAATTTCAAAGGGTTAGCAAGATTATTATAAACTTCTCAAATTATATCCTAAAGCTGTTTGTCTATACTTCAGAGCATGTGCTAAATTTTGCCAACTGTTGTATGGCTTGTTACCTAAGAACTATTTTTATTCCTTAACATCTTTTAAGATTTCTTTTTAAAATGATGAAGAATATATGACAGAGGTCTGAGTTGTTGGCTCACAAAATCTAAAATATTTATCATTTGGCCCTTTCTGGAAAACATTTAACATTCCTTGGCCTAACTATACAATTTTAATGAGCATAAACTAAAAAATATGAGACTCCATTACCAATATGATTCTGCAACCTGTACACTCAGAAAAATGAGAAATTATATCCCATCTGATTCAAATGTATGATATGTCAAGGTCATTGTACTGTCATGTGTAACTAATTAAAACAAATAAAAAAATAAAATAAAAATATGCACAAAAATTATCAAGTTGACCTAGAAAGAAAATAATTAAAATTATTTACTCTGTGTGATTATACTCATCACAGTACACAAAGGATATTGCTATATCCAGAATATATTCAGTATTTCATAAAATTCAACCAGTATTTTCAACTTACTTTTACTCCAGTGTTCCTTATACCTTTGTATTTTTTTCTTAAAAAGTGGCCAGAAAAGTGAATTCTTGTTTCTTTTCTTTTTCTTTTTTTAATATTTATTATTCAATTGTAGTTGGACCCAATACCTGTATTTATCTGCTATCTATCTATGTATTTATTTTTATGTAGTGCTGAGGATTGATTGATTTGATTGAGGATTTATTTTTATGTAGTGCTCTACCATTGAGCCACAAACCCAGCCGCAAATTCTTGTTTTTCAATGCATTTTTAAAGCTAATAAGACAACCAGACTTGGTTGGCATAAAGTTGTGAATTTATCTTGCTGACAGATTTAGAAGCTGTTAATCTTAATAAAAGACTAATAGATAAGGATATTTAACTCACATTTTGGAATTGGCATAATTCAGCCAAATCATTTTAAATATTTTGTTTGAACCATAGTACTGTTAACAATATTTAATACAAAGTAAATCAAGCACACCAGTTAGAATGTAAAAACTGAAATGATGATGATGACTTGTTTTTCTCAAATTCAAAAGACAATGACACCCAAGTTGTAAAATTTATTCAATCTGGATAAGCTCTGAAAATATTACCCTAATACAAACATTACTGTCTATCTTCAGAGATGCTGTTATTTCTAGAAAAAAAAATGACCATGCTATATGGCTTCGTAATAAGCTTTCTGAAACTTAGAGCCTAACAGTTTAGATAAAAGGGCTAAAGTCAGCTAGTTTTATGTTGTCTAACCAAGCCCATGTTTCCCAAGGTTTGTTTATATAGGGATCAGGATGTGGCTCACAATAGAGCACTTGACTACTAGATACAAGACACTGGAATTGATCCCCAGTACAACAATAAAAGGGTCAAAATATGTTGTGTACCTGTAATTCCAGCTACTCTCTAGGCTGGAGATGGGAGGATCACTTGGAACAGTAGTTCAACATTATACAGGTAATGCAGTGAGAACCCATCTCAAAAAGAAAAGTCACATAAACTATTGTTCATATTGTAATCCAGGTTCTGAACAACTTCATTTTGAAAATAATAACAATCAGAATTGTTTAAAACTTCTGTTATTGCTATTACAGCCATATATATTTCATGCCAAAATTTCAATATACACTAGCAACTAGATATGGAATATACAAAATCAAACATCAATGAATTAGGAACTACCATTAGTTCTAGGGTGAAAACCAGCCACATAGAAACCTCATCATTTCAATATCAATGTTGAGAGTCCAAGATACCTAAGAGATCAAAAAATTGAAAGCAACTTATTTAAATATTAATATTTTTAAAAGACCAATGCATTAGCAAAAGTAACTTTCCTTCCCCATG